TTCTTATGTTTATGTGAAATTAATTAATTTAATAGGACAAATGAAACATTCCGAATCTACCGCAGAATACATCGCCACTGTTTGATCTGAGTACCGCTATGAATTAGTGGGGCATATCCGCTACTAAATAGAACGGTTGGTGATTTCAGAAACACTTCTTGCACAAATGAGTGCACAGAATTATTAATAATTAAGAGAAAAGCAACCAGCAAAGTCAAGTGTCGAGATGGATTTATAATAACGGTCCAAATTCGTAAACAAATCCGATACATTACGTTATATAGGTACGTAAGCATATGTTTTCTCGTACATGTAGTTAATGAATCAGATATCAAGACAAAGAAAAACACAGAGACACCGAGCATGGGTACAAAATCTCGTTCCTCACGTGATAATGGAGAGCTTACAGTCTCTCAGGCTTACAGATACTACGAGTACTAGAAGGAGTCGGTCTGCACGTCCAGATAGCTTTTGGTCCCAGCCAACCTCCTATCCAAGCGGGCACCGGGGGCAAATTCCCCGTGGGTAAAGCTGCCTGGGCGTGAAGCTCCATCTAGTGCCTAAATCAACAGTAGTGGAGCTAAACCTCCACTCCCTCATATGTCTTTATGGCATAGAAATTAAATAATTAAGCACAAGAATACTTTCTTTACTTTCCCATAGTTACTAATCTCACTGCTGCTGATACTACTACTACTACTACTACTACTACTAATAATAATAATAATAATAATAATAATAATAATTGGCAAACAGCTTTTTCTGAGCCATAGCCTTCCATAGAAGATTCTGCCAGACTTGTCAATTCCGTCGTCATTTGTAACATCCGGTTTTCACTTCTTTGGACTTCGCAGTAGTAATTTTTAAAGAGCCTTGCGTTCAACACCCAACCTAGAGGTCCAGGTTTCTGTATTTATGTCCCTCAGTGACAGGGTGGCTCAGTTATAACGCCAGGCAACGGCTTCGCTTTTCGTCGCCTTCTCTGATTTGCAAGGCTGCGGTGAAATATTCTAATCCACCTCCACACGGGATAATATTAAAAAAACTCCGTGACCTGTAGTCCGCAAGCGAACTATACCGACCGAGCGACCGTCGGCGAAGTTAGTGCAAACTCTAGCGGATAGAGGGTGTCGCGTGGTCAGCACAACGGATCCTCACGACCGTTATTCTCGGTTTTCTAGATCCGAGCCGCTATTTCCTCGAAATAGCTCCTCAATTCGGGTTAATAATAATAATAATAATAATAACAACAACAACAACAACAACAATATATCTACGAGTTGACAGGTTACCTGGTATTGTTAAGAATGTACATTGTAAGTTTCACGTTCCGACAGCCTTAAACCCGGGGAATGAACACCTGTTATCCATTGAAGAGGAATGCTTAGTGAGCCTCAGAGCCTGTTCGGACGCTGTCAGGAGTCGAACCGGAGTCATGAAGCCTGTAGCGAGTTATTATAGACTTCTACTGAGCCGGACCTGCCCATACTAATAATAACTGTCATAAAAGCATGGAGGAATGGTACAAGTCACTGTTAGTACACGCTTCACTCCTTTGCTTCACCTTCAAGAAACAGTGATGTTCATTTCCAGGTTCTAGGAATACATGACATACCCTTGACGTTCTCAGGGTCTATTAACTGCACCGACCGTAGATATATCGAAGAAATAGCCCCACGCTATTTTTAATTCCCAACGTTTTTCGTCTCATATGAACAAAGTCTGCGATAACAGTAATCTTGCCGTCTCTTTCTCATATCTTCCATCCCTGTTTTCCCCCTAGCAGTTATATTTGTCTGTGTCTGTTTTGCTATTATTGAGTAAGTGAGACAGACGGCTTGCAAGGCCAGCTTATTGCCTATCTATAGCTATCTGTTGCCGTTGTATTCGGCTGGCAGCTGTTCCTTCACCTCACGATAATTACAAGAATTATTCAAAAAATCAGTCAGGCAAAAAGAAACATGCCAACTTATACATATTATAGACAACCGACGTTACATCAGGAAACTTGGCGAGTGTATCTGAGGCAGGCTATCTATGCCACCACATGACTGTTGATACAATTGAATGACTGAAGGGGAGGGAGGGAGGGCACTTAAAATGTTCCCTCACTTCCTGAAGGTTAGTATTAGTAACCTGAAAGAGAACCGACAAACGTTATATTAACATGCTGCTAAGTATGGAAATGTTCTGGAATTCACAGATGTCGTGTTTGTAAGACAGGACTTGACGCTTCACTGACCTTCCAGTAATGACGAATTTATACATTAATGTATTTTGTTAACGACTACCAATGTATTCTTGTTATTAAAAGACTGAAAGCTCTCCTGGCGCGGTAAGATGCTGCCTGATATTTAAACCAAGAACTGCATATCAATGTTTATACCGCTTTCCTTGTTTTGAAAATATAATAGCGGGTTTATGAGATCACCTTGCTAGTGTTATGCCCCCCCTCACCCCCCAACAGCGAAGACAGTTCATGTCTTAGACCGCGCGGCCACTGTAACCGGCCAATAGAACACAGCCTACCTTTTTATGAACCAACAAGTATCTCTCTTTAAGTGTTCGACATGTTTACTGAGGCGGTTGCACTGTTACCGTTTTAATCGGAAGCTTTTGAGCCGTCAGCCCCTGTTTCATGCACAACCGACTAAGCGACACTGAGGAGGCGTCCTGTACACCAAGCCATCATGACAGGGCCACCATTATGGCGTGACTACATTAAATGCGTGCATATATTTAGACAGTCAAGCAGTGTGAAATGTTTCACATAACTTAGAGTCTCCTACACACAGAGCAATCACTGGAGATCCACCATAATCGCACCATCGCAATGTGTGGGGACACAGTCTTCGGTGGCTCTGAAGGTTCTCTTTGTTGGCAGGCTCTGCGACTCTGTCGCATGGCGACTGTCAAGTGTCCAACACAAAAATGGCGTGATATGTTGACTTTGAGAGAAAAAATTCTGTATGCAATTTTATTTTTCCGACGAGTTCTGAATGTTCCGCCCACCACATTTTACTTCACCCTAATTATACGAAATACCGGTATATATATTTTATGAATACAAATTTTATAGCTCTCATCATGAAACTTTCTTTACCCTCAGTTACGTTCTCTCTCGTGGGTACAAATATTCCCCTTTAGGGTCCAACTATCTCTAAAGTACGCATAATTAAATCACACTTTCTGAATTCTGGCAACTGTTAACACTTTATGCTATTTAAGACTATTATTCACTCATGCTGATACAATATAATTAATAAGTTACGTATATCAGCAAATGGCAGGTGTAAACAAATAATTGTGTAAGTAGACGTAATAATAAGTACAGACTAAATAGTTGGGAGGCCGGTCACGGTAGCTGAGCGGTCTAAGGCATGCACCGTCTTCGCTCGCTCAGAAGCCGGGATGGTGGGTTCGAATCCCACTCAGGGCGTGGATGATTTTGTGCGTTTTTCTGTGTTTTTCTACAGGTAGAGGCCTTGCGACGAGCTGATCACCCGCCCAAGGAGTCCTACCGAATGTGCTAGATCTAGAAAAACCAAAATGAACGGAGAATTTCATGGAGGTAGGCCTAGGCCCACTGGGGCTGTAGTGCCAAGGAAAAAAAAATAGTTGGGCTGTAATGTTAAACAGTCGTTACATATTATTAGCAAAAAAATAAGTTGCTTACGATACTTTCGAAAGTTTTTCCTGTTGTCTTGTGATGGCATGGAATAAGATGTGGCGTTTAGAACACCTCTGTGCCCTAGCAACTCTGACTTTAGGGCGCGGTGTGTCCGTGTTTGCGCGCGCGTCTCCTTTTGCTTATCTTGGATTGTGGGATTCAGTCGCAGCCAGCAGGGCACGCTGACGGACTGACTGGTCCCGCATTGCTCGCTTACCGTTGGTTCTAGGTGTAAAAATCAAAACAGTTGACAGCTGGAGACCAAACCAAGGGTGATCTATCATTTTCTGTCAGCATACTAGCACAAGTAGCGCAATGATTTGGTCTACATGACAAATTACAATATCGACCTTCTATTTATAAATGGAAGCAGGAACAGCTCACGAATGCGCTCACCAGGTCGCAGTGATGACGAAGATGATTATTGATGAGCCGGATATACCCGCACTTGTGCCAACTGTCAAATCATTGGAAGCGTGTCTTTGGATCCTTTATACGCCTCACGACTTTTGTAGCGCCACTTTTAATAGGCCTCCGTGCGATCTGTCTCGTCAACAGAATGTAGGCTACGGTCATATTTCTTTCTTTTGCTGACTCTACAGACCCCTTGGGCCCTAGCCTTTAATTTTCAGTTTCATGATCATTTTACAGACGGCAGGACTCCTTGGACGAGTAATCAGCTCATCACAAGGCCTCTACCTAAATACAAGACAACACAAACACAGAATAAACACGTACACCTAACAAACATCCATATCTTGTGTGGGATTAGAACCCACGATCTCAGCTTCCGAGCGAGAGAAGTCAGTACATGAATTAGACCACTCGGCTACCGTGACCGGCGGCTACGGTCATAATACATTCACCAAATATTAGGGTGAGCCGATAGTGCAGGATGAGATTGGCGGAATATATAACACATACGGAGAAGAAGCGAAATTCATACGAAATATTATCCGAGCAAGCGGAAGGGAACGTACTACTTAGGAGATCTTAGTGTAGACTTGAGGATAATATTAAATTGGACTCTAAGGAACGAAAATATGAGGGTGTGTACTATATTCAGTACAGGGTACTGTGGCAAATACTTGTGAGCACTGTAACGCTATTTTGGGTTCCACAAAAGGAAGGAAATTCTTAAGCAGATGATCGACTGCAGGCTTTTCGAGAAGAACTATATTTCACGGAATTAGTCAGTCAATCTCTAAACTTCAATATATACTCGTATTGCTGGGGTGATGGATCAGTAAGATTTTGATGCAGAAAACATGCCTTGAAAATTAACCATACATTTGATGTTAACGAGATGTATATCTTACTTATGTTACAGTTATCTTGGGTGCATGAGAAGTCCAAGCAGTACTGCAACCGTTCCATCGCCTTCTAGCGACCTCCTTTTACATAAGTAAGTATATTATTGTTAGTATTGTTATTGTTATTATTATTATTATTATTTACACTTTAAAATGCTTTATTCCAGCCGACAAAATATTGACGCTTTATTTCTGATTAACGTCTTCAAGAACAAAATTGACTCTTGTTCTGTTAAAGATATTGTTGGTCTCCGTGTATCCAATAAGCAAATTAAAGACTTTTCTACCTTTAACGTCAGTAATGTCTCAAGACTAAGCCCTTCAACAAGATGTATCATGGCTGCAAACAACATCTGCAAATCTCTGGACGTTTCCAATAAACATAACATCTCCCTTGAGGATACATTTTCCTTTGCTAAATACTACTGACTTATGTCATTATCATGTTACCTGTGTTATGTTATTGCATAGTTCTAGTTCTAGATCGAGCCTCAGTTTAGGTTTTGTTATTATTATTCTTTTTATTGCTAGTGGGGTGGGACTAAGTCCCTTGTACTGCGGCCACTTCTGGCCTATTGTACCAGCCCCAGATGATAGGTGAGGGTGATTGTGGAGCAATTGGTGGAATGAAGATTGGCAGGGGAAACCGAAGTACTCGGAGAAAACCTGCCCCAGCGCAACTTTGTCCCCCACAAATCCCACTTGACCACACCCGGGATCGAACCCGGGCCGCCGCGGTGGGAAGCCAGCGACTAACGTTCACTCCACTTCATTATTCCGTATACTTCGCAAAATGCCAAACATTAGGATATAAAAAATAACAATTTTGCAAGCTGTTTTTCATTAGAATGAAATGTGGTCTTTTGCTTTCAAGAAAGCACATAAATTAGAAGTATTTGGACCAAAGAATAATAAAGTAGGTGAGGAAGAGAGGATATTACACAAACAGGAGCCTTGTAGCATGCAGGTGCCAAGACGTACGTACTGTCATTATAAAGGCCAGAACATGCTGCTAGTACGGAGAGACAAGGAATGCCTGTATACACAGTTTTAATGGAGAAACCTCTTGGAAATGATCCATTTTGAAGACCGACAATTAATTCAAAGTCATCGTTAGGAAGGATCTTATAGAAACAGACAGTGACGATGAGGACCGATTGGAACTGGTTCAGCATGCCAACAGCGATGTCTTCCTCTGGCGCAGTCAGTCGGGAGCCAACTGACTAGATATATTTAACAACGGTGCGTAATATTTTCCTTTATGCAACCTCGGAACTTGTTACTTGGTTTCAAACGTATATTTTTATTTTCTGTTATTTATTTTCAGAAAATATTTGCACTATATAACCTGTCTCTTTCTTGCTTATGGCCAAGCTGCTCTGTAAGCAACGCCACAATGGTTCATAGATAGCAGCAGTATACAGTCAACTTGCCTTCTGTTTCTGTGCTTTTACAGTAACCATGAGCCATGACAATAGCAGCTTCAGACACCACTGACGCTGTATTATAAAATGATTAGTTGGTTATTATCCTTGGAATCTTTACTAGCGCGAACGTCCTGTAAAGAGCGCCACAAAGGTTCGCAGCCTGATATGCTGACATCGGTAACACAAACTTCGGACATCATAAGCGCTTTATTATAGACAAATTAAAACTTCATTACCCTTATAATGTTTAAGACCAACCATTCTGTAAAGAGTGCTAGAGTGGATTCTAAAAGGCTCTGACGATGGTGTATAACACTCATAATTACTGGGACTTTGCCAATCTTCCAGTATGCTAGAAATCAGAAAACACGTTTCGCAAACTGGATCTGCTTCCATCCTCAGGTTAGGGGGAACACCTATTCTATTGGGTCCCTTAAAATGAGCCTACATCAATCATTGGTCCAATCTAGTTTCAGATTAGCTCTTCCTAAGGGACCCAACAGAGTAGGTGTTTCACCTTCCCCACCTGAGGACGGAAACAGATGAAGTTTCCGAAACGATGTGTCTTCTACTTTCTAGAATACCGGAAGAAAGACAAAGTCCGGAAACCCAGTAATTCTGAGTACTACAGTTATTCAGAGATGGCAGCACAACGCATAGGACCGTAACTACGGTGACAACGGATTCGGACAGCATCAGCAGATCACTGCAGCGATTTATATATCTGGCGAGAGTCTTATCGATATCTCGTACCCTATTTAGATTGAGATTTGAGATGATTTGTAAGCTAAATGAGTTAGAAATAAGGAAAGCGACGAAGAAACTAATCGGGCTTCTAAATCTCTGTAACAATAAAATAGCACCGCTTTCGACTGATTTCCCGAAAGAGTAACGATTTGGAAACAGCTGCGAATCTGTAACTTTGCACACGTCACCACACACAGAATATTCTAGAACGATTCGAACGGTTAAGGCTTTGTGTGTTTCAAGGTTTAATGTAATGGCATATCTATCCATAAGATGATAAATAGGAGACGGAACTCACGTGATGTATGCGGGCTGTATCATGGAGGGGTGGCTACCGACGCGACACTGCAATCAACACTTCTGGCTGCCATCTTAATCGCCAGCAGTCACCTGTCGCCGACACCTCGGATGCCTCGAATTTGAATTTCAACGTTCCTCTTCTTTCAGATCCTCAGTATTCACCTGTGAATTAATAGGAAGACCATATGAACCATGTAATTTCCTACTAATGGAATAACAATGCCAATACCGAACTCCGCCATTACACACTTGTATTAAACAGTTTAATATCCTTCCAACCTACTTCACTACTATTCCTTTTAACAATATCAGTTCGCTTTGGTTGTGTTCCCAGTTGCACATGTTTCAGGATTATTTTCAAAGGGATTAAATGTGAATTTATTTATCTGAGCTACACTGACCCATTGGCGAAGACTAGCTCTTTCAAACGATTCATTTGGATCAGGATTCTCCTCGCCTAAAGATGGAGACACAACTGCAATTAGGGTTTTTACGATGATGTATAACAATCGGGATTGCTGTGTTTACGGGCTAAGCTCATTGTCTGGTATTCTAAAGAACTTCAAAGAACACTAATTTCTTTAATTAATGTTCCTCTGTGTTCTTCAAGTACCGATCACAGTGGCCGCGCGGCCTAAGACATGAACTGCCTTCGCTCGCACGAACGCTTGGATCGTGGGTTCGAATCCCAATCAAGGCATGGATATCTGCTTGCATTTATTCCGTGTTTATGTTACTCTGTGTGTAGTTAGCGGCTTTGCGACGGGCTGAGCCCCCGCCTAGTGAGTCCTATCGACTATGTATAGGATTAAGAGACTGAAAACGCGGCCAAGGTCCAAAGGGCTATAGAGAAAAGAAGGGAGATGAAATCTGATTCCTTCATAAAATCAAAGCATCTTGGATCCATACGGTCGCCCTTCTGTAACACCTGTTAGGCCTGTAATCGGAAGATCTTTTAGTGTTTCTTCACCTAAATGGACGGCCTACATTATCTGATTACTTGCCGAAACTCTGAGTTGTCACCGTGAAACTGGCAGAGCTGTGACACGAATTCTGGCGACAGACCAGATATCGTGACTCACTTTCCAGTACATCCAGGTAAATACGGAAGCAGCATATAGTAGCGTTTAGGCCGCGACCGTCTTCACCGAAAGCCCTACGGAATTTAAATACCAATATAACGTACTATATTCGACGATTTATAGCGTCGGTAATTAATTCTCCGTTATGTATTAAATACCTAAGTCTATTGAGAAGATGATAGTCAGTAAACTGATCAAATATCTTACGCTTTATGGGATCTGCTAGGTTATAACCGTGTTTAAAAAGCGCACCATCCTTTCCTATTCCGCCCAATGCGAATTCAGTTCACAGACGCAAGCTACATTCCTAAATTTTGCTTTAATATTATCCTTTCAGCTAGGCGTAAGTTTCCCAATTGTACTCTACTCTTCTGGTCTGACGACTAAGATTTTGTGTTCCTCATAACCCAACTCCTTTATACCTTGTTCTTTTACTGTTTTTGAATCACCCTAATTACATTTGATGAATTGTGAAAATTATGGTAAAAAGGTAAAGGGACTCGAACTCCGGTCCCTCAGTCATCCAGCCTATAGCCAGTCGCTGTACCGGCTACGCTACCCCGGCTCCTGTGTACAAATTATGAAACTCTTCAAATAATTTCCTGAAGCTCTACGTTACATCCTCTCTCGTAGGCCCAGATATTCCTCTTAGCATCCTGACATTAACAACCTCAATTTATGATCCTCCCTTAGGAAAGGAGGCCAGGTCATGAAGTGGGGATACAGTTCAAGTATTCTTGACCTCAGCACTAGAAGCATGTGAGTGGTGAGCTTCACGTCCCGGCCTCGTTACCCACGGAGAAAGGGGCCTCGGTACCCATTCTGCAGGAAAATGAGTGGTCTCAGAGCCGGTCTGAACGTTGTTGAAAAAGAACCCTTGCACCTGCCGGGAATCGAATTCCAGCTGTCCAGCTAGAAACTCGTAGCTATATCGACTTACATATTTTAGAAGCAGACATTTAATGATATCCAGTTCGCAGTTGATCACCTTAACGCAGATCCTGTCAATAAAATATCTATCTATGGCTCTACAGCCCTCTGTTGGGCCCTGACCTCTTCTTCAATTTCGTAATCTTTTTAAAAAGACGGTAGGACTCCTTGGACGAGTGATCAGTCCGTATCAAGGCCGCTACCTACACACAGGACAACATAAACACAGAATAAAGGCAAACAAACATCCATGTCTTGAGTGGGATCCGAACCAAGAATCCCAGCGTTCGAGCAAGCGAAGACAGTTCACAGTTTAGACCACGCGGCCACTGTCATCGGCAGTCAATAAAATATGAGATAGTTATAAAAATAAGAGAGAATTCTAATATGAAGACACCCGTGTTATTGCTGGACAGAGCGGAGCGCCCACCTGTCACAATAAGCTGTGCACGTGTAGTGCTGTCTGTAGTGGTGAAAACCTTCGGCCCATTGAAAGAGCCTCTCCGCTTTTAGAGTAGCATAGAAAACATAGTGTTTTAAGTAATGGCTATACTTTCAAACAGCAGCAGATGTTAGTTTGCTAAACACTTCTTCTTCTTCTTCTTC